GAGTGAGTGATCGATTTCCTCCTCTGATCAAATTAGTAATTTTTGTGACAGTAGCCATGGTGGTAGACAGTTTAATTGATTTGGCACATAGAGCCTCCTGATGTATAATACAATGCAAGGTAGGTACAGTAATTTTATTCTGTCTTAAAAATCCAACAAAACCGCTTATTGTCCCTGTCATTGATTTAGCGCCATCTGTTACTATGGAGGACAATTTTTCAAAACCACCGAATTCCTCCACTGCACTCTTAACAGCGTTAAAAATATCGACACCTCTAGTTGTGCTGTGTAAAGAGCACACTTTTAACAACTCTTCGAAAATTGTAAAATCTTCCTTAATTGCACGAACAAATATCAGCAACTGATTAGTATCCGAAACATCTGTGCTTTCGTCGAGAGCAATTGAGAAATAGGAACAATTAGCGATAATGTCTTTCACATTATTAGATATCTGGTTGCTAATATCTTCCAGCCTCCTAGTAACAGTCTGTTTTGAAAGGGGCACTGTTTGAAATTTGTTTCCTACCTTATTTTCATTGAAAGCTTCTGCCATCTTTATCGCACAGTTCTTAATTAATTCACCATCACTTAACGCTTTTTTAGCTTTCATTAATTCATATGTCACGAAATAAGAAGCCAGCAAAGCTTCTTCTTGTTGTTTTGTTTCATTGGTAAAAAGAGATTTCTGCTGGAAAAGTTTTTTCTTTAACTGATCGCAGACTACTTTCCTTGATTCACAAGAGTGTTTTCCGAACTTCTGTTTATGATTTGTCATGTAATGCCTCTTTAGGTTGTACTCCTTTAAAACTGCTAGCACTTGAAAACATACTAAACACTGTGGCTTGTGGTCTTTATTTAATATAAAAAAATAGTCATGTTCCCACTCAGATTTGAACGCCCTATTTTCGCTATCAACTTTTCTCAATTTACTATTTGACATGCTGTATCACTCACAATAACTTCAAACACAATTTTAATTTAAAAACAGTTCTACACTCACACTCCGTAATCACACTTCACTTTCTAAAATCGCACTAACTGGGAGACATTTCTGCTAAAACTGGCACTTAACAAAGGCCAGGATGCCGAGAGAAACGGTAAACATCCCATCGCCGCGAGCAAGCTGGGAATGGTTATTATTTTGAAGGTGTCATAAATCCTTCACCACTA